TCCAGCCACTTATCCACATCCTCTAATTCAGCAGTTGATGTGATATACTGCAAAATTGATGGAGGGTCACGTCCATACACTATTTTGAAAGGTGACATGCCAACTGAAGTATGGTAGGAAGTATTGTAGCAATATTCAGCCCAATGCAAGATACATGACCATTTTTTTGGGTTATCTGCTACAAAACACCTGAGGTACTGTTCTAGGACCCTGTTAACCACTTCAGATTGACCATCTGATTGAGGATGGTAGGCTGTTGTCCTGCGCAAGCTAGTGCCACTGAGTTCAAACAACTCAGTCCAAAATTTACTGAGAAAGATAGGATCTCTATATGAAATTAGAGATCTAGGAACACCTTGCAATCTACAAACCATGTGAGTGAAGAGTTCAGCCACCTTAGCAGCTGAGTATTTTTTTGGCAGGAGACCAAAATGTGCTTGCTTGGACAGTCGGTCCACAACTACTAAAATCGAAGTGGAGCCATGGGACACTGGTAAACCAACTATGAAATCAAGGGATAAATCTTCCCAAATTCTTTCAGGCACAGGGATGGGTTGCAATAAACCAGCAGGCCTTCTGGTTTGATATTTCACTTGCTGACAAATCACACAAGAGTTCACAAATTCGTTAACAGCTTTGGACATACCTGGCCATATAAAACTAGCAGTTGTTCTGGCCAATGTTTTCTGAATGCCTGTATGGCCACTAGTCAAAGTGGAATGATTCTCCTTAAGAACTTGTTGAATCAAAGGTGAAGTTGGATCTAGGAGAAGCTTCCCTTTTTGCAATAATAAACCTTCCCGAACTTCATAATCAAGGCAGTTCGCTGGGTCAGCTGCCAATTGCTGGTGAATTCGCTGAAAAAATGAATTCTGTTTATTCTCCTTCTTTAATTCCTCCAGAATATCAAAATGCACCACTGCCAAAGTCATCAAGGTCATGGTAGGGTACCTTGAAAGGGCATCAGCCACCCTATTTTCTTTGCCTGGCTTATAAACTATGGAATATTGGAATCCCAAAAGCTTGGCTAAATAGTACTGCTGTTCAGGGGTTTGAATAACCTGATCCAGCAAGCTCCTCAAGCTTTTCTGATCTTTCCGTATAGTGAATCTCCTCCCCAAGAGATACTGCCTCCATTTCTTGACAGATTCAGTGATTGCATACAACTCTCGTACGTATGTTGATGCTTGTTGCATTCTCAATGATAACTTCTTGCTGAAATAGGCAATGGGGTGTTCATTTTGAAGGAGGACAGCACCAATTCCTAAGTCTGAAGCATCAGTCTCAACTATAAACTCCTTAGAAAAATTGGGTAAGCACAAGACAGGTGCAGCAGTCATGGCTGTTTTTAGACTCATAAAAGTTGTGTGAGCTTTATTAGACCAGAGAAAGGAGTCATTTTTCAGCAAGTCTGTTAATGGAGCAGCTATAGATGCATAGTTGCACACAAATCGCCTATAATATCCGGTTAGGCCTAGAAAACCTCTGAGTTGTTTGATATTTGTTGGGGGTGGCCAATCAACCATAACTTTGACTTTGTTGGTATCCATACTGACTCCTTGTACTGATACCACATGGCCCAAATATTCTACCTCTGTTTGTGCAAAGGAGCATTTGCTCCTTTTCACAAAAAATTGTTGCTCTTTCAAACTGGTTAGCACTATTTTCAGATGTTCTAAATGTTGTTCTAAAGAAGGACTGTAAATTAAAATATCATCAAAAAATACAGCAACAAACTTACGCAGATAAGGCTGAAACATCAAGTTCACAGTGGGTTGAAATGTCGCAGGTGCATTCGTCAGCCCAAAAGGCATCGCAAGGAACTCATAATGTCCTTGATGAGTCCTAAAAGTTGTCTTCTGAATGTCAGCTGGGTGTACTCGAAGATGGTGGTATCCTGCTCTCAAATCCAACTTGGAAAATATTTGAGAACCACCTAATTCATCCATGAGCTCATCGGCAGTGGGAATAGGAAATCTATCACGAACTGTGATATTATTTAGAGCTCTGTAATCTATGCAAAACCTCCATGTTCCATCTTTTTTCTTGACTAACAATACAGGGGAGGAAAAAGGGCTTGTACTGTTTCTTATAAACCCGGATTCTAGCAGTTGCTGCACTTGCCTCTCTCTATTTCCCCTTTTTGAAAATGAGGATACCTATACGGTCTAACATTGACCGGAGCTGAATTAGGCTCTAGATGGATCTCATGATCTAAGTATCGATGTGGAGGCAATTCTCTGGGCTCTTGAAAGATGCTGTCAAACTCTTCTAAGAGGCTTTGTACTTGAGAATCTATAACTGGCTCTTTAATAGGAAAATTCGAACCCAACAGAGTGAGTTGGTACATAGAAGCAACCTGACCTGTATTGTGGATTTTTTTGAATTGATTAAAGGAAATGGGACCTGTGTGTTTATCCCCTTGCAATTTAATTGTCTCCCCCTGCCAAGTAAATTGCATTGTCAGGTGAGTGTAATCCAACATGATAGGTCCCAGAATCTGCAGCCATTGCACTCCCAGCACCATGTCTGCCCCTTGAATAGGCAAGACATAAAAATCCACCAGAAAAACATGTCGTTGAATCTGAACAGGCACAGCTGGACAAAAACCTTCACACTTTAATATCTGCCCATTTCCCACCATGACATCAAAATGCTTATAAGTAATTACCGGTAAACGAAGTGTAGAAACCACTTGTGGCTGGAGAAAATTATGGGTGCTGCCCCCATCAACCAATAAAGATACTTCAGACTTGCCAATATGACAGGTGAAACGAAGAGTTTGGGGAACACTAAACCCTGATAATGCGTGAAGGCTAATCTGTGGTGTGGACTCAGGTTCAGGTTGAGCTTGTGGCTCGGTTGGTGTATTCATAGAGTCTATAGATTCAGGGTCTAATAGTTCATCATCAGGTACTATTAAAACATGAACAGAAGCTTTGCATTTGTGGCCCATGAAGTATTTGTCACCACAATAAAAACACAGTTTCTTATCTCGTCTCTCCTGGATTTCACTCTGGGATAAACGGTGGAGAGGGCTTTTGGTTGAAACAGTGGGGTCAAGACTGGTTATGGGTTTAAAGTGTTTGGTTTGAGTATTTGGTGTAGGTAATAAAGGTGGGTATGGGGAATGAATTTTAGGTTGAAAGTTCTTGGTCTGTAGTTTAAGCTCTTGAATCTTGGCTAGAGCTATGGCTTTGGTTAGGGTGGGGGGATCAAAGGAAGAAACCTCATACTGTAATTGGGGTTTCAAGCCACAGATAAAGCAACTCAATAAGAAGGATTCAGGTAACCCATTTACCTTGTTAGACAGAGATTCAAACTCAGCCTGGTACTCCATGACAGAACCATGTTGCATCAATTTAGCCAATTTGCCTTGGTAGTCTTCCAACTCAGACGGTCCAAAACGCACTTGAAGAGACTGTAGAAAATCTTCTCAGGAACTGATGGTTGTATTCTTATGCAACCAGCGGTACCATGCGAGAGCTTTACCAGAGAAATAAAACGGAGCTATCTTCGATCGTTGTGCATCAGCAACGTCATAAAAGTCGAAAAACTGACTTATCTGATAGATCCAGTCTTGTGGGTCTGAAGAACCATCAAACTTCGAAATCTTTAGACGGAGATTCTTTGCGGCTTGAGAATCCTTGGGTCCTAACTGATGGATGCTAGCAGAAGATATGGGAGAGGATTGATGTTCTCTGTAGTTGTCGAAAATCGCATCGAGCTTGCAGGTGATCTCCAGGAACTGTTTGTTCATCTGATTCTTGAGGTTATCAACTTCCGATTGGGTTTGATCTACCCTATCGTCAAGAGTACGAGGACGGTTGTCGGGTGCCATGGTTCAGGGATGAAAGCACCAGTTGATAGAATCACAGTTCTACCCTAGAACAAAAGAGAAAGGTGAGAAAGAATAGGAACAGAAAGATGAGAAGAAGAATCCAGAATTTCATTTATCAAATCAATGAGTAACTACAATCGGTGTCTCCCTATTTATATGCTGACTGATAGCAGTTAGTTACAACTACTTGTAACCGTATTACAGTATACTATCTACAATTATTCTTTTCATCAGAACAACAATCAATCTAACACTACTTGCATACAAATTCCTCATCATTGAAGCGGTGAGACTTTCTTCTTGTTCTCCTTGGTCTCTCTTCCACCATGGGCCTTCCTTCTTCAGGTTCCACTGGATCATTCCCATTCTCTGCATTAGCATGCATGCTCAATCCCCTTGCATCTCCTTCTTCACCACGCTTCGATAGATCTACTGATAGTGCTCTAGGAGTTGACTCAGACAGTACCAATTCGTTTTCGTCTCCTGGGCTGTGCTTTTGGGTTGAGATATTACCCATACTATTTGGGCTTGGGACATTTGGGCCCATATCAAGGGACCTCGAGACTAATTTATTTTTGTAAGGGACTAAAATGAAGACCATATTTTTTGTTAGGGACCAAAAATGATATTCGCTCTTCTTTCAAATATTAGTCAAAGGGGGTGAGTTTGGGTGTTGGGTTTCAGATCGGAGAGGAAGAAGGGTGAGAAAGAGAAAGAGAAAGAAAGAGAAAGAAAGAGAGAGAGAGCTCCAAGGGACTTCGCGTACATAACAATTCAGTTCCCCACCCTTTTCAGTGTTAAGGACCAAATAAGGCCTCGATAAATTTGTCAGGGACCAAATAGGGGCTTCGATGCTGGGGTGTCCAAAACTCCAAGAAGACATAAGACATGTTCAAAATGTCGTCGTATTACTTCCACGCTGGACTACTTAATAGTGACACTATTTTTGTAAAATTAAGAACAAAAAATGAAACTTTTTTTATTGTTAGAGACCAAAAAAGACTTCATGAAAATTGTGAGTACGAACAAAAATATTTACTGGTTTAAATACTCATTTGTTGAAAATTGAAATGTCTCTTAAAATATAAAATTTGATATCTACGTCAAATGAAAATATGTTAAGTAATAAGGACGATGGGGACTGCAATGGGTGCAAAAATTGGCGATGTTAACGAAGTGAAGAAGCTCCAACTGTCCAACTAACTTAACTTCGTCTTCTCCGCCTTCTTTCTATTTCCCCCTCTTTCATCATTCATTCATTTACTAACTCACTAACTCACTCAATTCATTCATTCATTCACCAAAACATGGCTTCATCATTTTTCACCGCCACCACCGTCGCCGCCGCCACCAATTCCCCCACCCTATCCTTCTCCTCCGCCCTCTCCTGGCGCCGATTCTCCGTCGCCGCGCCACTCTCTAAACCGCGTCGGAGGCCTTACTCCTCGGTCCAATCAAAGATCAGGGAGATCTTCATGCCCGCCCTAAGCTCCACCATGACCGAGGGCAAAATCGTCTCGTGGATCAAATCAGAAGGCGACGTTCTCGCCAAGGGCGAAAGTGTCGTCGTTGTTGAGTCCGACAAGGCTGACATGGATGTTGAGACATTCTACGACGGAATCCTCGCCGCCATTGTTGTCGCCGAGGGTGAAACCGCCCCCGTCGGCGCTCCCATCGGCCTACTTGCCGAGTCCGAGGAGGAAATCGCCGAGGCCAAGGCCAAGGCCGCCAATTCGGCTTCCTCCGCCACCGCGGCCACTCCAATTCAGCCAGAAAATTCAAGTCCTGCGCCGGCCATCTCCCCGCCTTCTCCACCTCCGCCTGCTAAGGCGATTTCCGACGGGCTGAGGAAGACGGTGGCGACGCCGTACGCGAAGAAGCTCGCGAAGCAGCACAAGGTGGACATTGGATCACTGGTTGGGACTGGTCCGAATGGAAGGATTACTCCTGCTGACGTGGAGGCTGCCGCCGGGATCACGCCGGCGGATAGTAGTGTGGCTCCTCCGACGGTGTCCTCAGCTCCACCAAAAGCCGCCGCCGCTCCGTCGGCCGCGTCGGCTTCGTCTCCAGGTTCTAGTGTTGTCCCCTTCACGACAATGCAATCCGCGGTTGCGAAGAACATGTTGGAGAGTCTCTCTGTTCCTACATTCCGTGTTGGGTACCCCGTGACCACTGATGCACTTGATGCTCTTTATGAGAGGGTATGCTTTTGCAGCTTAGTTTTTTTTTTTTAAAAAATTGAATATGGGTTTCAAGTTTGTTGTTGCATTTTTAGGTGAAACCGAAAGGTGTGACGATGACAGCTATTCTAGCCAAGGTTGCTGCAATGGCACTGGCTCAGCATCCGGTGGTGAATGCCTCATGCAAAGATGGGAAGAACTTTGCCTATAATAGTAACATTAACATTGCTGTAGCCGTGGCAATCAATGGTGGCTTGATTACCCCTGTTCTTCAGGATGCAGATAAGGTATGTGATTGGTGAATAGTCCTGAATCAGAATATTTTGATTTGAGAATGTAAACTTGTGTTTTAGTTCCCTTGTTATTTGGTTGGTTACTTGTTTTGTTGTTGCAGTTGGACCTATATCTTTTGTCCCAAAAATGGAAAGAGTTAGTAGAAAAAGCTCGTGCTAAGCAATTGCAACCTCATGAGTATAATTCAGGTTTCTTTTTAATGTGTGCGTGTTTTGTGATTTTTGTTTCTCGGTGGGAGTGTAATCTTTTAGCCCAAGTCTAACTGTGCTCTTTTGTTATGCCTCCAGGAACTTTCACGCTTTCAAATCTGGGAATGTTCGGAGTTGACAGGTTCGACGCCATACTTCCTCCAGGCCAGGTGACTGATGAGCTTTTGAATTTTAACTATTAATTTAGGAGATTATGCGGCTCAGATTTGTAGCTATTTGACCTTTGTTTTTGTTTTTTGTTTTTATCTTTTTTTGCTAAACTTTACCATTTATGTTTAGGGGGCTATCATGGCTGTTGGAGCATCAAAACCCACTGTTCTGACAGATAAGGATGGATTCTTCAGTGTAAAAAATAAAATGCTGGTGAGTTATATGATTTTTTTTTTACTTTCTTATAAGGTTAATCTTGTACGAGTTTGTATAATTAAAAGTTATGCACTTATGCTTAGGTGAAAACAGAAACACTTTTTGGATGAAATTGTCTTGCCTCTTTTCTCAATGCACTGGAGTCATAATATGAAGACAATAAACATTACTTAACATTTACACGGTGTTACGCTACAGAACTATATTTCTCTAAATGCATAGCCAAAGCTTTAGCTTACACATGCATGTTGTTATGCTGAGAGTTTCTTGAGGATTAGTTCTATGGACATCATATCTCAAATCTTCATCATAATACTTTCTGTTTATTATTTATTTAAATTATTAGCTGGACTGCAGTCATGACTGAGAAAAAAACTTTTTGCTGTAAGTGCAAGTGTCTTTTCTTTTGAAGTCTTGTTTCTTAGAATTCTGACTACAACTATAGTATATAAGAAACCAGATGTTTTATCCTTCCAAAGCTTCCAATTACAATTGTTATTTGAACTTTTTCTTTTTCTCTGTTCATGATAACTATTGCCTTTTAGACTTTTCCCTCTTGGATTCTTAATCATGCTAGGTGTCAGGATCCATAGTCAGATGGTTTAACTGGTTCTTAGTGGCTAAGGTGTATCTTAAAGTACTATATATGCAGAATATGTATTTTTTTTTGACATACTTCAATTCTTGTTAGTCATGTTGCTTGACATTGTAAATGGTAGGACGTGTTCTCTTTCTTCTCATCAAAGATGGGGTTCCACTAGTATATTCATCCACATTGAGGACATACCCATAACAACAATGCCTTTCTCTATAATGTGTTTGTTCTGAATCTCTTTACCTGATCCATTGTTAACAACTTTGGAGGTTCTACTTCTGCTGTGGTGTGAACATAGAACCTATAGTTTGGAATGTCAGCAGATAACCATTTTGAAGCTAAAATATTTCAAGGAAAATTGTCTTCTTGACCCAGATCATGGTTTCTAAGGCTATAGCTTGTGTTTTTAACCCCTTCCCTGCAATACTTTCCTCAATTCCTCCATTAGATGAATGCTGCAAATAATTTTCTTTTCTTTGGGTTGAGTGCTGCCTGGGAAGGGAGAGTAACTATGGATCAGATTTCTTGATTGTTAAATTTTCCAATTTTCCCAATAAATATAATCTACCATCTCTCATCTGAACGTCAGAAAGTCTTGTTGTTCTGGGTAATATGAACAGCGGTCCAATGCAGAAACTGCACAGCCATCAGTTTTGTATGTAATTTGTATCTTGAAATGTAAAGATCAATGTGGATGTTACCCTTAGTGTTGTCTATCAGAGGTTGTAACTCAGAATTGTTTCTAATATCTTAGAGATCGGCAAGAAAACAAATGAATCTGATAGGAATATACTCATGAAGGTGTATGTAAGGTGGGCAATGAGATGACATAACTAACTTTTGGAGGGAAAATAGAATTTTCTAGGAGGTTAAGCTGAGCATAAGATGAGAATGTAAAGTGTGTGAGGGAATCCGGGATATCTTTTCGAATTGGGACCTTGGGAGAGTGTAAGGCCTCTCGAATTGCTTCACTCATTGTTATGTTCCTTCCGTCATTTTATCCTTTCTTTCATGTCATTTGGATATATGGAATTTCCCTTTTGCAGTAGATATATTTCCATCAGTTGTAATAGTTTTATTGTTAATACATATATCAGAAAATCTGAATTTCCAGGTCAAAATCTTGTGTTCTGTTATTTTTAATTGATTTTGGAGTTGGGTTCCTATCAAATTGGTATGGAGCTTCTGATCTGGGAGCTCTGTGAACCATGGCCACGCTAAGAAGGAAGAATCCAGAAGATGATCTTAAGAAAATTTTGTTGCGCTTGGACCAAACTCTGCGATAGATGATGGATCGTCGGAGACCTAGAAGGGAAGTCCCAAAGTTCTACGGAGAAGACGATGACGTTTGGGGATGGCTAATCTATCTGGAGAAATATTTCCAGGTAGAAAAAATTCTTGAAGATGAGAAGTTGGCAGAAGCTGTGAGAGGGCTCAGAGGACCTGCACTCAAATGGTATAAATGCTGGAGTTGGCTCAATCCAAAGACAACTTGGTGGATGTTCTTAAAAGCACTTTTACAGGTTTACCAACCTGAGATTTGTGTGGAAAATGAGGATGAATCAGAAGCATCAAGGCCAGAAGCAGAGACCCTGGAGGAAAAGGTTAAGGGTGATGAGACGAGGCGTGAAGCGGTGACAAAGGAGGAGCATGTAACTGGTGTAGAGGTGAGTGAAACCCAACAGCGAAGCAAAACCAAAAAGGGAGGACAACCGTGACAATGGATGAAAATCATCCTTCCAGTTTCGCGTTCATCGGGTATGATAAAGAAGAGATCGTCGGAAGGGAGCGAGATGAAGAGTTTGGGAGTATGTTGGAGGTGTTGGCAATGGGGATACCAGAGACGCCACAGCCGCCGAATGAGGTGGCTCGACCGCCACCATTACCAGAGTCGCCGAGCGAGGAGTGGGTATGCTGCAAGGACGTGACAAATTTGCAGCAATAAATGGCTACAAAACAAACAGAGAAGGTAATTGGGGCAGAGATGGAATGGGGTGAGTTTATGGTCAGGCCCAATTTACCATTAAGCGGATACATGCCTAACCCAGTAGTTTCTTTGTTTTGTGTGATGAGCCTGACCCAAAGGAAAAATCTAACTCGAGATGTTTGGGAGTTGCCGAAGAGGACTCAGGAAAATCGACGATGGACGAAGAGTGAGTGGCAATGTCGTGGTGTTCCTCCCCCATCTAGACGAGAAGATAAACCTTTTGCTTCTTCAACAAACGACGATTTTGATTTGTACAACCGGGAAAAGAACAAACGGTTTCATCTCCACAACGGAGCTCCACCTAGAACTGAACCGCCTTGGTTTTTTGTAGCTCCAACACAAGCAACATTCTTTAGCCAGGTTTGAAGATTCTTACTATTCCCTTCTTGGGGATGAATTGGACCAAGGTTTTGGTGGCCCCTGGGGTCGAGATGGTGGCAGATCTGTCCCACCTTGGGTTTTTAGAGTGTTAGACGTGCTTGGAACAACTCCTAAGAGAATAAATGTTAATGCAATTGAGTGGGGTTGTCAGGGGAATGCACTGGCCACCTTGACATATGGGATTCATGCTACTGAACCAAGCTTTAAGGGAGGGACAAATATCCAACTTTTACATATTAAGGCTGGTGACATACGGAACATCATTCTTTCTGGTACAAAGGAATAGGTCATTTGAAATCTTGTTACATATTTTAAAAGTGCTACAACAATGGGTGCATTTGAGGTGGGAGGAATTAAGCTCTACAGAGCATAAGAACTCTGCAAATATCTTCGATGATTTAATGTTGGAGATTAAAGATTCTTGTGAAGATTGGGCTCTTAAAGACCAAACATATACTCGAATTGCTGAGATATTTTTAAGGGAGAGAGTTTATTTATGGCTAGAAATGCTTCCATTCTTGGTTTCTCAGTACAACAAGGGTCACGTACAAGCTGGGTTGATCTTAGTGATGCTGCAATGGTTTCCTAAGTACAATATAATTCGCAATGCAGACTTACAAGCTACATTAAATGTTTCAACTGTTTCAAAGAGGCAAATGTGGGCAGAAGCACATCTTTATAAACGCCATATCAAGGATGACCACTTTGTTTTAGTGCAGACTATGCCTAATTTGGGCAATAAGAACGCACTAGATGTTGCATTTTCATTAGAAAATGGGACTCAAAGCTCATTACTCACGGTTGGTGACAAAAATGATAAGGCTTTGCTCACTCCTTGTGGCCAGCCTGAACTGTTATGTGCGTTACAGAAAAATCAGATTGGAAGTAATTATACGTCAAACATAAGTTGGTCATTACATTTCTAGCAGTGGGATCCTAGAGGAAGGTTCTTGAGGGCTAAATCTCACCTTGAGGACAAGGTGAGTGTTTTGAGGGGGAGTATTGATAGAAATATACTCATGAAAGTGTATGTAAGGTGCGTAGTAGGAGATTATGTTCTACCAATGAGGTGGCATAACTAACTTTTGGAGGGAAAATAAAATATTCTAAGGAGGTTAAGCTGAGTATAAGATGAGAATGTGAAGTGTGTCAGGGTATCCGGGACATCTTTTGGAATTGGGACCTTGGGAGAGTGTGAGGCCTCTCGAATTGGTTCAATCACTGTTATGTTCCTTCTGTCATTTTATCCTTTCTTTCATGTCATTTGGATATCTGGAATTTCCCTTTTGCAGTAGATTATGTCCATCAGTTGTAATAGTTTTATTGTTAATACATATATCTGCAAATCTGGATTTCCAGGCCAAAATCTTGTGTTCTGTTATTTTTAATTGATTTTGGGGTTGGGTTCCTATCAGAATCCTTTATATCCTTTTCCTACTCACTTACAGTTCAACAAACCATATTAGAATTGTAAAAATTTCTGACAGCAGCACTTTGTTGGAAAAAAAAATGAATATAGAACACTTTGTCTGATCCTGATCTTGGTACGTATCATATGGGAAAATTTTCTAGTCTTTATTATAGTGCTTAAAATGTAGGTCCATTCCTTTCATATTGTGATAACTGATAAGAAATTTCAAAACATGAGTGAATTGAGTTCTGAAATCTTGGACTACTTACATTCTTGTTAAAAAGTGAATGGAAGGGGTACCCACTTGTTCTGTATTTTGGTAGAGATTGTAATTTTTCCTCTATTATGGGAGATGAATAACACTTGGTCTTCAATTTTTTGAGATTTTTTTTATCAAGTATGTTGATTAATTTAGGTGTGTCGTAAGAGGTATAAAAACAAAGACATGCTTTAATATGGCATATCAGTTTACTAATTGGGAACACGTGTGGAATTATAATTGTTTATATCTAAGGATGGCATTAATGTGCTCTAAACTTTTCTTTGTCAGGTGAATGTAACCGCTGATCACCGAATAATCTATGGGGCTGACTTGGCTGCATTCCTTCAGACATTCTCAAAAATTGTTGAAAACCCTGAAAGCCTAACATTGTAGTCATTCAACACTTTGGCATAAGTATCTGTGCTTATCCACCAGGGATGATGAGTTGATAGTTTTTACTGCTTATCCACCAGGCTTAATGCCTAATATTTTGTATTTATCTTGTACTTTAATTTTGTTACACATTTTCAGGGTCTATCCCAAGTGACGTTGACTTGATTTTGAAGGGGTGAAACAGCTTTGATTTTAGGTTTTCATCCAGTAAAGGATATTGTAAACGGAAATCTATGGTGAGAAACAGGGTGTGAGTATAATCAGAATTAAGCTTATGCGTTTGCATTAAAAAAACTAGTATTCTTTCCAGTTCTTGATTTGCTTTTAAATTCTAAGAATGGGTTAGTACCAACATTCATTTGTTATTTGATGTCTTCTTTTTCCTTTCATTTAATAAGGCACTAGGCCAGTAGTCCAAGGCCAACATATATTATTTGCCACAGAAGGGGTTTTTTAACAAAAAAGAAGGGGGAAACAAGGTAAAAGGGTTAGGAATGCATCTTGTTTTAAGCCTTATATAAATGAAATAATTTGGGCTTGGCAGGGCTGAGAGTTGTAGTAATACTAGCATAAAAAATATTTTTAGACTTGTTTTTTTCTTAGATAAAAAGTGCTCTTCCACACCTTCTTCAATCTAAATGTATTAAATTTATGCTTTGTCTTTCGTGTAAATTTTCTTCATCTATAATAAAGAATTAATTGATCAAGCAAGAATGAATTTTCCAGCTGTATTAGATTCACCACATCTTTTTTCTTAAATTTTCATGTCTAGTCTTCCTCCGCCTTTGCTCTGATTTCCATTTCCCTTCTCTCTGATGAACTTTCTAGCAGATAATGAAGTAAAATTTGGAACATCACTTCTTCAGGTGTATTCAGGTCCCGTGAATGGCGTGTATTATAACTAGCATTAACGTTGATGGAAAAGTTAACAATTTTTTTTTTGGGGGGTAATTTTTTTTATTTTTAATGTGAATCAAAGTTGAGGAGGATTGATTAAATGACAAAAGAAAAAAAAAAAAGAATAAGATTGAGAAGGTTATTTAAAAAGGGGGTAAAGTGTAATTTACCTTAAACTATACAATTAAGAAATGAAACAATAAATAGACCATATGTTAACCCTATTGCTCATCTGCTGCCGTGAGAGCTCATATGCAAATCTTCAACACCTCCATTGATTTGCGTTACCAACTGCTGTACAAAACGTGAAAATCACCTCCCTTTCATATCATCTATCAAGCTTTAGATTTTCAGATGGAATTCATTCTTTCAACTTCTTGTGCATTTTTAAAAAAGAAGTTTTTCGGTGAAAACTGAAATTTCCAAATTGGTTTTGTATAACTCAAATGATGGTAGGTTACATTATCCTAGGATTGGGAGCAAAATTGGGTTGGATTTGCATGTTTACCAGGGTATCCTAGTTTCACCATCATTTTAAAATCACATCTGTAATTTTCAAAAAATAAGATAAAAATCACATCTGTGGCGTGTCTTCATAGTTTTGGTTATCTGGGTTTTGATTAGAATAAGTTTGTTGAACTGTACGGGACTTCGGAGCCCAAAACCTTGCACCCCCAATCGAGGCAATAAACACACAGACTCAACCAAAGCCTAACCTGGATGCGTACCTTAACCTAACATCTAGATATCCAGCTCAACCAACTAGGTCAACATGGACCCAAATGCGCACTAACCTTGTTTCTGAAAGATATGTCAATCATAGCAACAATTGAAAGAGTAGCCCAGATCCTAAAAGAATTCCCACGTAGCATCATCGTAATGATGACTCAAAGGTGCGATTTGCACCATCATTTGAAGATTGGAATATTAGTTTCCGTGAAGACACATGAGCAAGGGTGAAGCATGTGGTTTTGTTTGTTGTTTTATTCTTTTTATATTATATTTTTTAATGAAATACTCAATAGGAAAAAAGTTATAATAAAAAATATGAAACATCAAGATTAGGGATAAATGGATGGTGATGATTATCTATAATAATAATAATAATCATTATTTATATTGCAGATATGTTAACAAAGATACGAGCTAATCGATACTTTCATTCTAGTCTCTACAAGAGTGGCCACTAAAAAAGGTGAGGAACTCGAAAATCTAAACAACTAAACCCCCTATAAAGTTGCACTTAAACTCTGATACCAAGCTCAATTTGGTTCTCTTCTGAACTATTATCCCCTTTGTAATGAACCTGAATTGGCTTGTAAGTGTACAACTTTGCGCAACATAAGTAGTAAATAAGATTAAAAAGCTGCAATAGGGTGATGAGCCAGTAAAAGTACTCCAACTTCCCCTTGTTCAGGTTATTATCAGGAAGCCAATTTGACCCATCAGGCCCAGCACTAAACTTGTGGACCAAGGTAACCAGAAGGGTACTCACATAGTTCCCAACAGAAATTGCAGTCCAAAAAAGTGCCATGGCAGTGCTCCTCATACTCTCTGGGGCCTGGTCATAGAAAAACTCTAGATGCCCAATGGACATAAAGGCCTCAGCCATTCCATGAAGGCTGTATTGTGGCACAAGCCAAAATACTGATATTGGGATTGTGGCTTGAGAATGGTCAATAAGCCCATGGGCCAGAGCCGCCTTCTTTCTCTTCACTTCAATGAACCCAGCAACCAAAGTGGCCAAGGTTGAAATCACAAACCCAATTCCCATTCTGTGAAGGAAGCTAATACCACGGTCAAGTCCAGTGAATCTACGGGCTACACGGATGAATACCCGGTCATAGAAGGCAGTGGTGATGAGCATAGTGAGGATTGTGAAGACAGACATTGACCCAGCTGGGATTTGGAAGGACTTGATAAGATGTCTGTCCATGGTTTTGGCTTGTTGGAGTGAGAATGTGTTTTGTTGAGCATAGGCTGTTATGAGAAGAATTCCTGAAGCCCAAATTGGGCCCATCCTTATTAAGGACTTCAATTCCTCCACTCTATGAACTGTGTTTAGCTTCCATAAGTTGGGTGTTTTACTGTTGTCTTCTTCTGTCACAATAGCTGACTTGTCCAAAAATCTGTATCAATTTTCACAAAATTGACTTAGGTTAGTTAAGGGGAAAAAAAAGTTCCTTTCAACTTTACTCCAATCACAAATAATTATCAATTGCTAACTATTTAAAGAATTTAATTTATTTGTACATTCAGTCTAAGAGAGTTTAATCTTGTTATTTAATCATGTGTTATTATATTTTTTTTAATAAAGTATGTGTTATTCAATTGCTAACTAATTATGTGTTATTTAATTATGAAAATGACGTAGCATTTACAATCAAACGAAACAATCATAGTCATGAGAAACACGTGTAAAGATGAAATATGACTCATCTATGCCCAGTTAAAAGCTTACTGGGGCAGTGGAAACAAAAAGATAAATACCATATGGACCAAAACTGAAGGTTCACATCGTCTAGCCCTGTGTGGTTATGAGTGAGGTAGGGTCGGGAGATATATATATATATATATATATATATATATATATATGAGGCATGATAACATAAACTTTTTGTTGCCTAGCTGATTATTTCCAATGATAGATCAAAAGAAACATGTGGTGGTATCAAGAAAACCAAAAACTATTATTCATGCTTAAACATATGGACAAGACATCATTGCTGTGAGTACACATGACCAATTATGATGTGATGACAATAATACTGGCCAATAATAATTCATGATAAGACAAAACAAATTAAGCTATGATGATTATGTTGTTGGCTTGTCAATTCGTGAATGATTATGAATAACTTAAACGTTGTTATTGAATTATTTCATCTAGTTATTAGAAACACTAATATTAAGCCATTAGGATTGATCAAGTGGTTAGAGATTTGAATAGATTGTATTAAATTCTCACTTGTATTAAAAAAAAAAAACACACTAATATTTGCTCATGTGATGTGATTCTATAATAGAAAAAGAAAAAAGAAAAAGACACTTACTTCATCTGTTCGGTATGAAGAAGCTTCCCACCCAAAGAAATAAAGGCATCTAATTCATCATTTTGGTATAGCAAATTGGATTGGGGTACATTTGTTATGTTTCTCTTACGAAATGCAGCAACAGTTACTTGTACCAATCGAGTAAACGGGCTCCCGGCCGGGTCCAAGTTCCGGTAAAGTGGATATCCAATAAAGAAAGTAACAATTGAGATAAACATTGCCACAGTGGGGATTCCAAGGCCCCATCCCCATCCAATGTTATCTTGAATATAAACAAGAACAGTGACAGCGACAAGTATGGATCCACCCATAACAAAATAGTACCAATTGAAATAAGTCCATGTCTTTGTTTGCTTGGGATCCGATTCATCAAACTGGTCAGCTCCAAATGCCACCACACAGGGTCGGATCCCACCCGACCCGAGTGCCCCTAGTAGCAATGACACATAGAGAACTGCCAGCTGTCCTGCACTAGCTTCTTGGCATACCCCTTCACCTTTACAAGGAGGTGGTCTAAACGGTGGAAGTATTGCTGATAATGTCAAACTAATCATCCCCTGATGATTAAATAAACACAAGCACGGTGACAAAAATAATAAAGCGCATTCAATTGACGTAGAGAATCATCATGACATGACATGTTTATAAAAAAAAATCAAAGAATCTACAGTGATTTTATTTAAAAAAATTCATGACTGAATCATAATCAAGGCTTAAATCTACACCTAATTCTATATATTAAATTTTTATCCTATCTTTAACCATTTGAATTATGATTAAGTAGCATCTATAATAATATAAGTAAGGATACTATTCTAACTTACTACCACTTTAATATAATTATGTACCCCACGGAATACATTAAAAGTTGTTTTTCTTTTCTCTTTCTAAAGAAATTTTTCAGGGGATTTAACTATGATTAGAGTAATAATAAGTTGGTAGTAGAAAAAATAAAGAGTAAAAATATCCTGCCTCTAATAATATACTGTAATTTAGCCGTGACTAGTGAGATATTCACTAATTTTTCTTTTTGGAGAACAGATTTTCACTAATTTCTAACTTCTATATTGGTACGTAAAAAAAACTATATATGCTATATCTCAAAAAAAAAAAAAAAAAAAAACTATACATGCTACGTTCGAGTTGTAATAGATAGATACAACATATTTAGCAATTCAGCTAAAAATTTATATTCAGAGTTAAGGAGGAATCATTACAATTTGGTATATAATGGAAGCAACGGTGATGGTCCAAAACTTTCCAGCATATGAATCGGCAATGAAAGCACCGAGCAATGGTGTTAAGCTTGAAGTTCCACCAAAGTTAGTGAGGGTGTTAGCGGCTTTGGTTAATGGCATATGAAGCTGTGTTGTCAAGTAGCTAATCATGTTTGTATTGAAACCCACCACAGCCAACTTCTCACAAACCTCATTAGCTGCAACAAAACAAATACAACAAGAGATTCAAAACCATATATTTAGAGTACGTAGCCATTAGGAGGAGTAAGCTATTTTTTTTTGCTTTCTAATTAATTAGAGATGCACTAGAGTTTCTATTTTGAAACTTACCAAAGATGAAGGGCATTGTGACCAGCCCTCCCCTTTTCCTTCTAGCATGATTGTCATTTTGCTCCATCTTTTCAAAACTCTATTCGTCCTCTTGTACATAAAATGGCCACAAAGTTAGAATATTTATAGGCTAAGCTTGAGATTTGGAAGATCTGAGCTTATCACAGTGACCACTCAGTCAAGCGTTCACACCGCCACTTGGAAAGTTATGATAAGTTTTTTTTTTTTTTTTTTTTTTTGATTATAAAATAATTTGACAAGGAAGAGTAAAATCTGAATAAAAATTATATTATGAATTTGATACAATGGTTGGCAGGTATATGGGACAATAAAGTTTTGTCTTATGTACTCTAATGTCTCTCAACTTGCAGTGTGAGATAGTGTGTAGATAGATATATATGTGCTATAGATATATATGTGCTATAGATATATTAGTGTTGCCATGAGCTGCATTGGACAATTAGTTTGTTTTATTGTATTTTCAGTGTGTTGGCCTCTCATTAACTTTTTCTTTTTTTATATAATAGTAACAGTTGAATACATGCATACTCTGGCCCTTTTTTTTTTTTTTTTCTCTTTATGGTATTCGTACAAACAATCTCTTAATATATCATACCATGTTAGGCATTGAAAGAATTTTTTTAGGTAATCTTTGAGCTTCCTTTACATAAAAAGCAACGGAATTCTTATATTCCTCAATTCTTGTATATCATATTAAATATCCTGAGTGAGAGTAAATATGAGGAGCTCACCCGTTATTAACTGAGATTTTGATGATTACGAAGCATTGTGTTCCATAGGTGTAAATTAACAGGTAGGTAAGATATTTGATTTGGTGAGGTTATAATTAGTATCTCTTTTTTTACTACTAAATCTTAATCGTTGATTTATGTCAATCTAACAGTTGTAATTTATTGGGCCATACTTATTAATTAATTATTAATTATTAATAAATTATAACCATTAGATTGAGAGAAATCAACGATTATTATTTGGTAGTAAGAAAAAGAGATAGTAACCATAATCTCTCCCGTAGATTTTATATATTAGTGGGACTGCATGTTTGGTTTACTTAAATTGTGTGGAAAACAATACACACACATAATATAAATTAAAAGCTGTATATCAACTTTCACTATGAATAACTAAAAGCTACAATTTAAAATTTATTTTATTATTCTTATTATTTCGTAACTTGAACATAAAAATACTTTAAATTTTTTTAAAAATTAATATTTTAAAAATGTCATACTTATTTTAGTAATTTATTACGTAAAAGCAATATTTTTATGCAATCTAAATAAAATATAATATCTTAAAATACTTTTTCAGTTAATATACCAAAGAAGAAACTAATTTTATCATAATTAATTTCTTAAAAAAAGTATACATACAAATGGTTATTGAAATTTTTTTACAGCCAAAGAAAAACCACTAATCGTAAATATAGCAAAGTGAGCATACAATGAACTTTTCATTATTTTGAAAATCCTTTTGTTTTTAATGAAATTCTTTTATATTGTCTTTGCAAATTTTACCAGCAGCATCAGCTGGCATAATTTCCAAATATGATTTGATGCTTAAATAAGGGAATAAACAATCAAAAGATATTTATGATACTTCTTATAACTAGTTTTACGTTCTTTTATTAATTTTATCACATTAAGCCACGTGCACATTTTTCACATGAGCATCTCCATACTGAGAAAAAAATTTAAAAGTTTTTCATCATTTATATAAAAAAGGAAAAAATTATCAATGTTATTTTACACAATTTTGTTTATTATTGTTCACCGAAACGACGTCGTTTTGTGATTGAAAAATTAAAAAATTAAAATGTAAAAGACTATTATAACTCTGAAATAAATTAAAATTACAAATACACCATAATTTTCGTCCCAAAGAATATCATTTTGGTGAATATAAACTAGTAACTTTAGAAAAAATGAATCCTAAAAAAAATTAACCGCTAAAAAGTCATTTTCTCACAAAAAGAAGAAGTTAATCTCTTAAAATAAACAAAAGCCATCAGTAAAATAGTTTTTCAAGAACCGACTTTTATATTGGAAAATGAAAAATAAACTATTTGAAGAAATAACATTTGATAGGTTTTATTTCAAGAAAATAAATAATAATAATGTAAAAATAGTTATTTTTCTTATCTTTTATTAAGATCGAAAACATGTTTTTTATAAAAATATTCTAACAAAACGACATTGTTTGCTGGGATCAGCATGTACAGAGGTTGATTCTCATTAATTATTATTATATGAGTAACTTTAGCGCCATGTGTAGTGATAAATAAAAAAAACACGAAAGACTGAGTCCAAATCCAATCATCGTCCTTGGAGACACTGAGAGAGGGTTTTTCTGGACAGGCTAGAACGGGGAAAGTTAGACATTAATCCGATACCTAATTTTTGTTTTCACTGATATTTTAAATATTATTTATTATTTCTGATTGACAAATAATTATTGAATACTAATAAAAAAATAAATACCAAAGTACTCTGTCGAGGGAAAAAGAACTGTCAATTAGGATAGTATATATATATATATATATATATATATAAAATATTCTCTTATGTTGTATGAGAATTCAATTATCATATTGTGGCCCTTCGATTTGCGTGCAAAGCTTTTTTTTTAATAGATGTGGGGTCCACCACTTGTTGAGTCACAACATGAGAATTAAATTCTCATGCAACATGTGAAAATCAATTCCCATATATATATATATAAAACTGTTTTTCCCTATATATATATGGGAATAACATCTGTCATTTTAAAGGATATAAGCTTATATCATTTTAGATCTTAACCGTTGATTTCCATCCATCAACGGTTATAATTTATCGGATCAAAATTATTAATTAATTAATAATAAATTTAGTCCATTAAGTTTGACTCAATAGATTATAACCGTTGATAGACGAAAATCAATGGTTAGGATCTAAAATAATATAAGCTTATATCCTTTAAAAAGATAGATATTTTTTTCTCTCTATATATATAAGGAAAATAAAAACATGTCGTGTTTTTTTTTTTTTTTTACTTTTATAAATTAAGAAGATGGTCTTATTAAAACTCCATCGCATACAGTTTGATTCTTTTAAAACGAAAAGTGTATTTCAGAAAGAAATTATGAAATTATAACTGTTATTCGAATTAAAAATTAAAATTTTATTTTATTATAAAATACATCCGGATGTACTATAAATTATTTAAAAAAAGTATTATATATTTTTTATCTTTTTAATCAACTAATTGTTACGAGTCCATCTCATAGATCTAGACTTTTTTACCTTTATAACCTTTTATTAATAATTAATTACCAAATTGACCTTCATTATAAACTATTTCAAAAATTTAACCTCCCCAACAAACATAACACCAATCTGCCCCTGTTTGACCGTTGACCACCAAGTCTACCCGGGTACTCCCCTCCCTACCCGGGTATTTTTTGAAATTTTTGACCCGGGTAGGGAGGGGTGTACCCGGGTAGAGTTCTTCAATCTGGAAAAATAGTTGAATTATTTACCCGGGTACATAGGGGTGTACCCGGGTAAATCTCCACCAGAAACCCCAAAACCCCTCCTAGATCTCTGCAGCAGCCAACAGACATACAATTTACAAAATCGGTTTCTCCTCCTTATCTTCATCTTATGTTAATTTTTTTATCCCATCTTCCCACGGTATTGTCACCTACCATTTGCTATGGTTTTTTCAAATCGTGGGTTGGTTGAAAGTTCTAAACTTTTTTTTGATTTCTTTGCAAGTTTGGTTTTGAATGAATGCTTCTGAGAAAAGGGTACCTTTCAACTTTACTGCTCTTGTACTTGTTCCTCATACAATTTTTTCCTAATCTAGTTTGTTGCAGTTTTTGAACAGGTATCGCTTCTTGTCATTGGATGTGTGAATTTCTGAACCTATTTGACAGAGGCCATGCATTATTCTGCCTCCTCCTGCTTCATTTTGCATCCAAGGCCTGGTGTCAGTTTTCGAGTTCTGTTAGAATTCCTGGTGATGACTGTTAATGTAAGTAAACTTACAAGTGCTATAGGAGTTGTTATGTAGCAGTCTCTTGAGTTCAATGGGATTTCATTTTAGTCTCTTGAGTTTTATTTCATTTTGGGGTTTTTGACAGAGATTTACCCGGGTACACCCCTCCCTACCCGGGTAAATAATTCAAACATTTTCCCAGATTGAAGAACTCTACCCGGGTACACCCCTCCCTACCCGGGTAGACAAAAAATTTCAAAAAATACCCGGCTAGGGAGGGGTGTACCCGGGTAGGCTTGGTGGTCAACGGTCAAACAGGGGCAGATCGGTGTTATGTTTGTTGGGGAGGTTAAATTTTTGAAATAGTTTATAATGAGGGTCAATTTGGTAATTAATTATTAATAAAAGGTTATAAGGGTCAAAAAGCCCATAGATCTATATTCTAGAAGGCTAAAGAAGGGCATCAGAATAAAAAAATAAATAAGATAAAAGAAATAACCTATTAATCTTATTGCGACAACAAATAAATTAAATATTGGGTTCCTAGAAAGTCTATAAATAAGAGGTAAATTCTATAAATAAAAAATAAAGTCTACAAGCATGACATTTACTTTCTCTCTTTATTTGCTGTCACTGTACACACATTGTCTCTTTATCAACTTTGTTACTCTTGTGCATGACTGCATGATATCTTCTTTATAGATACATAAGAGAGCCTAGATCAAAATTAATATATTAATACCTGACTAAACGTTTTTATCCTTAGAATAGAACAATATTTCATATTTTTTCTTCTAAAATTAATGTAGTATTCAATTTATTAGTCAAATATCAAAATATATATTAAGTAAGAGGTGAATCTATTATTATTTTTTATCAATACTGTTGTTTGATTCAATTAAACTAACATTGATTGGTATCAGTTTTGTTATAAGAAAAAATGAGAATTGTTTTATCATGTTACAAGACAAAAATATTATTTTTTTGCAAACTCACAATATACGTGGGGTTCATTAAGGAGTGGAGTGAGAAAGAAGATAAGACCAACTTGAAGATGGTTTTTTTTTAGTAACATGACAAAACAATTC